GTAGAGGAGAGGATGGCGCTCTGTGGCACCTCGCGATTGATGAGGTGCTCCAGCTCCATCTGGAAGGATGCCGCCGCGTTCTAGATCCCAAAAGGTAGGTCCGAGAGGTAGTACCAGAAGTGGTCAGGCGGTGGGAACACCTCATCGGTGGTGATCTGGTGGTGGACGTTGGCTAACATGTAAAACATCTGGCAGTGGTCCGACATGGTGGGGCTCAGGCCCAAACTACGCCAGATCTGTCAGGCCAGGACCTAGAGATCTGGTCCTAGAAGTCCCGGCGGAGGGGGCAACACCTTGGGCTCGTTGCCCGCCAATGCAGCCCCGTGGAGTGGACGAAGCTCGCCATAGCAGTCGGCGACATAGACTAGGCTCCCAAAGTTGAGGACCTGGCCCTGAGCGAAGGCGTCAATCGTGACGGAGAACTCACCGGGGAAGGAGATGCTGTCGTCTAGGGCGACGCCCCTTGCTCCAGCGACAAGGCTGGTGGCTCCAGCTACCGTAGAGCCTAAATCTCACTTGACGCTGCCCCCTACCCGGCGCTCCAGCTGTCGCGGGGTTGGAACCACGTCAAGCATTGTTGTTCAAGTCATTGTTAGATTACAGGTCTCTGGTGGCTCGGGTAGACTCAAGAACACAAGAATCATAGAGAGGATGCAATGGTTTATCCTGGTTCGGGCCAATCGATGCCCTACGTCCAGCAGCTGGTGATCCTTATACTCAAAAGCACCCAAAATCGGGGGGTGGGGTTACAATAGAGTGTAGAGAGAGATTTTGGTAGGGGGTTAGCTCGGTGCTAATTCTAAGGCTACCTCACAGCCGGTGGGGCCTTCCCCTCGTCGGAGAGGAGGAAGACGATGAGATGAGGTGGAGGAGCTCTCCGTGCCCCTCTCTGGGTTACCTTGCTCTCGATGCTGAGCAGAGGCCAAAGGATGGAATGGAGTGGAATGATCTGTCTTCTGATCCTCTCCTTTTTCCCCTTAGGTCCAATCTTATCCCTTATATAACGAGAACTGGCGGGGGTCTGCTTTGGTCAGGAACCATTGGACCCGAGGCTTAGCATACCCATATGTTAGGATTTCGTCAACCAGTCAGCAACTGCGCCCGAATCGTCTCGAACTCCGGACACAGCCGAGAGAGGAACTCGTGAAGGCGAAGGGTGTCTCTCTGGTCGCGGTGGCGGTCACTGCATCGACAAGTACCACCACCGCAGAACTTAGCACCCAAACCGTCTAGACAATGCCAGGCGTCTGTCATATGACAGTGGAAGTCCTCAAATGTAGAATCAAGCTGACGAAGTGACTAAGCCTCCTCAACAACAACAAGGTACATCGCTTCGTTATGGATCTCGTAACTGCGACGGAGGTGATCCCACATAAGGTGTGAAGTGGGGAGACCTCTGAGGGATCGTACGAGATCAACCTCCATGCTCGCAAGTAAGATAGCCTTAGTAGATTTCTCCTCGCGTAGCCAAGTCTCATAGACACCAAGATCAGACTGGTAGCTCTCCATCTGAGCCTTAAATGCCTCAAGTAAAGCAGTCTTGGCATCATCATCAGCATCTGGCGGGTATGTGGGCGGCGTGGGGAGAACAGGATAGGGAGGACAGATCCGCTCACCTGTGAGGTAGCCCCACAATAGCTGCCCATCCATGTGGACCTCCAAATGGAAAACAAAGTCACCCCAATTCGTGCCATTGAAAATGATAGGGCACCGAGGGACAGGAATAGCACCAGGGTGCCCGGGGGATGCCATGGAAGAAGAGAGCTCGCTTTATTTTTTTTGTTTTTTGGAAGGAGTTTGTGGAAGGAAAAAAAGGAAATAGAGGAGGGAGCAACACCAGAAACAGAGGAGGGAGCAACACCGGGCTGGGAGGCGGGCGGGCCAAAAATAGAGGAGAGGGGGCGAGCAGCCGAGCATGCAGAGGAAGGAGCAGCGGCCGCGCGAGGGTGTGCGTGCATGGGTGGCCGCGCGCAAGGCGGTGAGGAGCCGTACGGGGCGGGCGCGAGGCGGCCGCGCGGGGCCACGCAAGGCCCACGCGCGAAGCGGGCGCGTACGGCCGCACAGGGCCACGCGAGGTGGCGCGGGTCGGCCGGTGGCTGAGGTGAAACCTGGAACCCTAGATCGATACCATGTTAGAATTGGCCAACTGATCTATTCCAGGCCCAAAGGGGCAACTATACATGTGTGTAAATATGCAACGAACCCCTCCAAATAGAGGGAAAATAAAAAGTACATCTATACATCTAACAGCACCGAGAGTTGGCTAAAAACCAAAGCAACTCAGGGCACCACAACCCTTAAACCAACTAGCAAAACAACTAACTCTGGCAACCAACCCAAAGCACAAATAACAAACTCAACACGATGCCGAGCACCACCAAGCAGCATGGAGCACCACCATGGCTACATGGCAAGAGCGAAACAGCGGACCGGAGCTAGAAAATGCCGCGTGACACCTTCATGAAGGAAATGAAGCCAAAGACGCTGACGTTGCAATCCCACCATGAGAAGGTTTTCACCCACAAATCCTAGCTGGGCAGGAGAAGTGGTGTGAAGAGGACGCCTCCAAGGATGAAGCAGCGTCTGCAGACGACACTATCTAGGCTTTCACCTTGATCTCTCACACCCACCCACCGTGGCCTGCCATTGCCCACTGTAGAGGGGGCCTGTCCCTTAGAAAGGCTCCGGTGATGATACACCCGCATCCCCGTCGATACCTGATGCCACCGTGTGCACCGCAAGCGTCCTCGCCGCATGCACAACCACAAGAAGATGCCCCCGACCCATCAAGGAGACAGGACACGGAGAGCCAAGGGAGCCACCTGCCTCTGAGGAGCCGGTGAGCTGCCATGATGACCTAAGCTGCCTTGAGGAGCCACAATGAAGGCCCGGCCGCCACCCTGGGGAGTCGTCGCACGAAAAGCCTGGCCATCGCCTTGAAGAAGGTCGATCTGCAGCATCAACCACACGCCGGCCAGGAGAAGCGCCACAAGAAGCCCTCTGGAGAGGCTGCCCACTGCTGGATCTAGCCAAACCCGGCCAGCAGCAAGCAAATCCGACCAACTCCACCACGGAACCGGCCAGAGCAATGGAGAAGGAATATGGCGGCAGGGAGGAGAGGGCCGAGGAAGAAGCCCCAACCGTCCAACCAGCCATCACCCGCACCCCTGCCACAGGAGCCCGCCGATAGATGGTAGGGCCCGCTAACCGACAGGGAGCATGCCCAAATGGACACCAGAGCAGTCCCAACATCCTCTACTCGGCTCCGGTCGCCAGTCCCGTGGATCTGGCCGCCCCCGTGTGGATCCACCATGCATATCGAGATGTTGGCCGGATGACGACCACGAAGCAAGAGAGAGGGGGAGGAAGGAGAGGGGCGGGATGGCCCCGCTGCCGCCCTCCTTGCTGCTTGCTGGCATCCAGCCTGCAGCTCCAGCAGTGGCGAGGGCGAGATCGGTGCTGCAGGGAGGCTGGGGTGAGGGGGTCGAGCCGCCCGGCTTGGGCAACGCGGGGGCGTGGGGGAGAGCTATGTCCATATTGGTATGAAATGTTCAACACAAAACAACACAACAAAGTTGAATACTTGTATGACCGTTCAGTGTTGGGAACTGGGAAGGTTGTTGGCTGGTTACGGTATCCTCATCTGAAAAATTGAAAGAACAGCACTTTGGAACTGAAATATCTGTTTTTTTAAAAAGAGTTTCCTCTCAGCTTTTAAGAAAGCAATAACTTTTTTTTTCCTGTTTCCTTTTTGCCTGTCAGGTTTGAATCCCTTGTTTAGTGTGCTATATCTTTTACCCATGTATAATATATAGTTTATCTCAATGTTATGAAAGCAATCCCATCGGCTAGTGCGTGCCGCTAGGGAAATGGTAGGCCACCATGCCACTTATTTCTGGTAGTGAGCACACATCTGTATCTATGCATGCCAAATAAGGAAGGCGCTTTCCCATATATGTGCCCATGACTGTTGCACAAACAAACCACAGATCATCCATTTATTTAAAGACATACAAGATGAGTAACAATAAGAGTGATCAAATATAATCCACACACTGGATGACCACAATGAGACCCCACACAACTGAAAAAAATCACACGCAGGACACAGCACACGAGATAAGGCTGGTGCACAGCAGCAGCTAGCATGCATGAGGCAAGGCGGGCAGGCTCAAGCTCAAGCCGTAGCTGCTGCTGCAGCAGGAGTGTCTAAGCTGAATGGAATTCAGCTCACTTCTTTATTTCTCATTCTCAACTTCACACATCATACGCTGAACGAATCGGCGCTGCTGGACCAAACAAACCAAATCAAACAAATCGGAGCAAACCAAGACCAACTAGCGGATGAAGCACGGCCAAACCAGTGCAAATCGATGCGGAGGCTGGAGATCACACAGACATGCATAAACCAAGCTAGTGGATTAGTGGAAGCGAATGAAGGAGCGGGCAGATACGGAGAGATGCAGAGACACCAGAGGCAAGCGACGGACAGCCTCAGCAACTCCAAGGGCGTCCGGGAAGGGTTGAGCGCCTTACCTGCACGAGAGGAGAGGAGATCAAGAGAATTAGCCAAATGCATGCGACTGGTCCTATCTCGTCTATTTTTGTTGAGCTTTGCGAATTGAGGATTGGTTGAAGAAAAACAAGCACAACCAGAATATAATGTGCATGGAAGAACAACTCTGATATGATGGTACCACTACTACTATATGCCTATATACAATTATATATATATATATGCGTGACACAGCCAGCCTATGTATAATTTTCCTGTTCCTCGGTCAAAACTAGTTTAGAAATACATAATTTAAACGCTGAACGAAATGTGTGTGCGCCACTGCTCCTTGTGTATGTAAACATCACGCATATAGGAAGGAACAGGGAAGTCAAAGTGAAGGAATGGACCAGAACGAGGAATGTCTGTACTAATAACCGACAACTGATTCCAACACCGATTTATACATATATAAAGGTAGTGGGCTAGCCGAGAAGGGCTATATTTACCTGAGGAGGGATCCCCTCAGCATGGTCTTCTTGTAATACCGTGAGTGGGTCGGCTTGTGGTAGTGCGTCAGCACCTTGCGACGACTTTCCTTCATCCTATCCCACCACTCCTTCTCGCAGTCGCACTTCACCATCCTACAGAAAGGTGGTAACGTCCAGAGGCTCCAGCAGCCCCTGATCCTGACAGTCTCAAACTTTGGGGCATTCATGACATACCAGGGGACATTGAAGATGCCCCGCAGCCTTGGAAGCTCATGCAGGTGAATGACCTTCAGGTTGGGAAAATTCCAGCTACATTGGTACATCCCACGGTCGCTGGTTTCCTCATACAAGTGAAAGACCACACTGAGATCGCCACACCACATGATCTCGAGGGTCTCCAAATTTTCCAAGGACATCGTTTTGAGTTGCAAGGGTACAGCATATAGCAGCCTGGGGCAGCGGTAAAGGTGCAATAATGTCAGGTCTGCAAATGCTCTATACCTGGGTCCTTCTAAGCTAGGACGCTCCAGGACACAGCGTGTGTTGCGGAGATGTGACGCCCAGATTATCTTGAGCTTCTTGAATATGTCCATGTGACTGCTACTTCCATCTGGTACTGCACCTACTTGAGGACTAAAGACACACTCCAACTCGGGGCACCGCTCGACTCGACACCACTCCAGTTTATTCCAACTTGATCCTAACGGAGCTGCAAAGATACTGGTGATGGACAAGCTATGCTGCACATGCAGGATCTTAGCAGCATCACATATAAATCCTGGTACAGTAATATGGTTTCCAGCTTGTAGTGCGGTTCTCATCATCTTGTCTTCTATGCGCATATAGCAGTCCTGGGATGTAGCTTTGGTTTGAATGGATGGTGCAGTATGGGTTCGGATTGGGGGAGGAGGACATGCACACATGGTCGCCCAAGCTTCACAATCTCCTCCATCGGCCTGTAAATCCATGATGGTGTCCTCCTTAAGGGTGGTGGCGACATCTGCATATATTGAATTATGGTCTTTACCCTTCATTCTGTTACCTTTGTTACCACCGGCGGCATCAGCACGGAGACGGTGAGTATGGGATGGGGTTGTTGAAATCACCACATGCGCATCATTGGGACCAAAATAATCTTTGACGGGCACAAGTGACCCAAGGATCCTCGCTTCCCTCACAGAAATATACCAATCAAATTCAACCGGTGATCCACCTCCGCTCATAGCTGCTGTTTTAGTGGCAGTAGTATTGCTGCCCTCCTTTTGGGTGGTGTCCATGCGTAGCTTGCCCATGTATCTTTTCCTCTTGCCTTCAGGTGGCCATAGGATTGCATAAAGCTTCCCACAACCAAGTAGGAAGAGCTGATCGAGCATTGGGGCCTCCACTGCACTTAGATCCAGTGTTTTCACTGCAGTGCCAGTGATGTCTAGGCTGTAGAGCTGCTGGAACAACCCACTCAAGAGTAGATTCTTCAGTGTGGCACACCCTTTCAGGGATACCTCTTTTAAAGATGTAGACCCGTTAATGATAACGGTCTCAAGGCTGTTGCAGCTGCTTACCGCAGGGAAGCTCGTCATGTGACCACTATTTGCTGAGAAGTCAAGAAGCTCCATCTTATCCTTCCCCGAGAACAAGCCTCCCATGTCTGTGTAGTAGCTAGCTGTGGCATGAGACTTTGTTACTCGGAGCTTTCGAATGTTTTGCAGCCGCCCCTTCAACACGCCCATGTCAAACTGTTGTCCCATCACATGTAGCTCCCTGAGTTGAGCCATGAAATCTATCATCCTGCTGGACAACAACTTTGAGCTTGAGTAGCGCACGTCCAGCACCCACAGCCCTTGGAAGCACCGAGGGATGTCCTCATTCCCTGCTACTCCATCTCCATCTGTGCTGCTGCTTTCTTCTCGGCAGTGGTCAAGCCAGAGAAATCTGAGGCTGTGGCAGCAGAGGAACGGAGGAGATGTGCAGCTAAACATGCAGGCTGATAGCTTGAGCACACGAAGTGTGTCATATTGTTGGAACATGCCTTTAGGAATACGGCCATTCTGATCCGGAATCAGCATGAACCCACAGGTCGGTGAAGTCCAGTATGATATCTGCTCTGGCAAGCGGCTTACTGGCGATGGAAAAGATGGGCTTTGGTAGTAGTCCACATCTAGTATCATCTCATGCTGCAGAGCATCATAGGATAGCCACACTCTACCATCATCATCATCATCATCATCAGTGCCATGTTGTAGCTGTATGACGTCATCGCATTTCCAATAGTTGCAGCTATGGGTAGCCAAATCATAGTCCATCAAGTGACTGCCCATGCGGCAAAGCTTCACCATGTACAAGAAGCAATCGGTTGCTGCTGCAGGCCAGTTGATGCCGCCAATATTGATCTTGCGTGCAATTTCTGCAGCCTCATGGTGCAAAATGCTGGACAAGTTAAAGCCACTAACTGCAGGGTCAGGGTCAGAGGCTGCTGAGAGAAAAACATCTGTCATCTTCATGCTCTCCAGGGCATTATTGACAGCCGTCCTAGGGTAGAGCCGGAACCCTCCTTGGAATGACCACAGCGCTTTGTTCCTTGAGTATCCTGACAGAGGGAAGCCGAAGCTTTCAAGATCTATTTCGTTGCAACTCCCGTTGTTGAAGATCACCAAGAACCTGCTGCTCAGATGCTTCTGTATGTGTCGATATATTGCATCAGCGACCAGCGGTATCTCAGCGCGGGAGCCCTCCTTGTCCACACCATTGTAATCATCCTCCTGATCTTGTGCATCGTGAAAGATTATGGGGTAACTATGGTTGCCTATCTTGGCTCACCATAGGTTGCATGTTTATATATATAGAACAAGAATTACAGATATAGATAGTTTAAACTATGACTCCTAACTTAAGTTCTATTCTATCTATAGCAAACTACAGGAGTCCATCTATCTATGAGATATGTTCGGTTACAACTCTAGTATAACACGTTTACAATCTCTAACACCCCCGCTCAATCTAAACTTTCCTAGCCACCTTGAAGTTTGAGATTGCGAACAAATGTATTCATCTTTGCAACCGGTAAGGCTTTTGTAAATCCATCTGCCAACTGATCTCCAGAAGAGATGAACCGAACTTGTAGCTGTTTTCTCATAACTCTTTCACGTACGAAGTGAAAATCAATTTCAATATGTTTTGCTCTAGCATGAAACACGGGATTAGCCGATAAGTATGTTGCACCAAGATTATCACACCAAAGAATTGAGGTGCGCTGCACTTTAACCCCAAGTTCGGTCATCAGTTGCTCAAGCCATATTATTTCTGCAGTAGCATTAGCCATCGCTTTATATTCTGCTTCTGTACTAGATCTTGAAACAGTTGGCTGTTTTCTAGCACTCCATGATATAAGATTACTTCCATAGAATATTGCGAAGCCTCCAGTAGAACGCCTATCATCTGTATCACCTGCCCAATCCACATCTGAGAAGGCACTGATGAATGACGACAATACCTTTTGAATATGCATTCTGAATACAATGGTGTGTTGTACATATCTAAGTATTCTTTTAACTGCAGTCCAATGAACAGAGGTCGGTGCATGAAGAAATTGACATACTCTGTTGACAGCAAAGGATAAATCTGGTCGTGTAATTGTCAAATACTGAAGAGCACCAACTATACTTCTGTAGCGAGTAGCATCTTCTGGACTGAGAGGAACACCATCATAGCTCGACAGCTTCTCAGATGCAGATAAAGGAGTCGTGCAAGGTTTGCAGCCGAGCATTCCAACACGCTTCAACAAGTCGTGTGCATACTTAGCTTGAGATAGAGTTATGCTATCTAAATCTTCTTTAACTTCTATACCCAAGAAGTAATGTAATTTGCCAAGATCCTTTAGTGCGAAGTCTTCTTTTAAATCAGCGAGAAGAGTTGTCACTGCTTCAGGTGATGAGCTTGTAACAATAATATCATCAACATAGATAAGCATATAAATAGTTGTACCACCCCTATGATATATAAAAAGAGACATGTCTGATTTTGACGGCACAAAACCTAGAGTGATTAATTTGGAACTTAACCTGGAGTACCACGCCCTAGCCGCCTGCTTCAGCCCATAGATAGCCTTGTCCAATTTACATATATATCCTGGTGTTTTAGTATCCTCAAAACCGGAGGCTGCTTCATATAAACTTCCTCTTCCAGAACACCATGCAAGAACGCATTCTGCACATCAAGTTGTCTGAGGCACCATCCCCTTGACACTGCAATAGAGAGTACCAATCTAACTGTAGCTATCTTGACAACTGGGCTGAAAGTGTCTTCATAGTCGATGCCATAGCGTTGCTTGAATCCCTTGGCAACTAATCAAGCTTTGTATCTATCAATACTCCCATCGGCTTTTCGTTTGATTTTGAAAACCCATTTGCAATCAATAACATTCTGTCCAGTTTTTCTTGGAACGAGATGCCAAGTTTTATTCTTATCTAGACCTTGAAATTCCACTTCCATTGCATCATGCCACTTTGAATCTGAAATAGCTTCATCAACGGAATTAGGTTCACCAGTAGCACTAAACATGCCATATCGAATCATACCATCATATAGCTTCTTTGGTTTGATAATACCGCTTTGCAACCGTGTTTGGTGACGCGGGGGATCAGGTGTGGCTGCTGGAGAACCAGAGGTTGTAGAAGATCCGGGCGCAAATTCATGTGCACCTGATGCTGTAGCTTGCAGCGGTGGTGCATGTGCACTGATGTTTGTAGCATGCAGCGGTGTCCTGTGTGAGACTCCTCGAGACGCATGCACGGCGTCATGGTGGAGAGACTTAGACACCACCGCATTACCCCCTCCTGTCACCGCCTTTTGTTGTCTTCAGTGCAAAGAATAATGGTCGGCGTAGTGGATCTTTGTTCCCCATGCGATGTAGCATGCGAAAGCAACACCGTTCGACGAATGGGAGGAGACAAGTTTTCCACACAGAGCTGCAGCACAGGCTATGTGCGCCACGTTGTGCCGGTAGCGCTGGGAGCATAGGCATGGGACCTGCAATTTTCTCTGAAGATTCACTAGAAACAAAGCAGTACGTCAATAGTATTAGTAATATCGATGCAAAGACACCATCATCATCCCCGGATTTCAAGGAAGAAGGCGATGGGACAATTTCTTTTCTAAGAGAGGGACCGGCGTTAGGATGGAGCTTTGAGAAGGGAAACACAGCTTCATCAAAAACAACATCACGGGAGATGTAAATGCGTCCAGTGGAGATATCAAGGCACTTGAAACCTTTGTGCATGGAACTATAGCCAAGGAAAGCACACTGAGTGGATCGAAAAGATAACTTCCTGGAATTATATGGCCGCAGATGGGCCAACAATCGCAGCCAAAAACACGGAGATTGCTATAATCGGGTGCATCATGAAAAAGGCGAGTACTAGGAATTTCAAAATCAATAGCCTTGCTGGGAAGAATATTAATGAGATAGGTAGCTGTAAGGAAAGCTTGATCCCAAAATTTTAAAGGCATGGAAGCATGAGCAAGGAGAGCTAAACCAACTTCAACAATATGTCTATGTTTGCGTTCAGCAGCACCATTTTGTTGATGAGCATGAGGACAAGACACACGGTGTGTGATCCCAATTTGCTTGAAGAAGGAATTTAATTTTTCATACTCGCCTCCCCAATCTGATTGAACACAAAGAATTTTCTTAGAGAACTGTCTTTCTACTAAGTTTTGAAAGTCTTGGAAAATTCGAAAGACATCAGATTTATGCTTCAACAAATATATCCAAGTGTATTTGCTATAGTCGTCAATGAAGCTAACATAATAGCTATAACGCCCAACAGAGATGGGTGCAGGCCCCCACACATCAGAATAAATCAGATCAAGAGGAGCACTAGAAATTTTATTGGAAACAGAATAAGGCAGTTGATGGCTCTTGGCCCTTTGACACGAATCACAAATTGACTCAACATTCTTGGAACTAGCACACGGCAATTTATTTGAGCTAAGGATCTTCTGAACTATGGGAGTAGCAGGATGACCTAGACGACTATGCCATAATGATGTAGAAGGGACATGGACTCCAAAAACTTCATGCTTTGACTCTATTTTTTCTTCTGCTGGAATGAGAGGATACAGGCCACCTTTGCATCTACCGTGATGTAAAGTCCTCTTCGTTTCCTGATCCTTAACGAGAAAGAAATCAGGGTGAAATTCAAGAAAAGCATTGTTATCTTTGGCAAGTTTATGAACTGAAATAAGGCTTTTGGCAGAAGAGGGCACATGAAGAATATTGTTCAAATAAAGTTTACTGGAAGGGGTATGAAAGACTGTATGCCCAATATTACTAATACTCATACCTTTGCCGCTGGCGTTATGAACTTGTTCATTGCCACTATATTTATCACGGACGGTCATCTTGTCAAGTTCGCCGGTGATATGGTTAGTGGCCCCGCTGTCCACATACCAATTTGTATCAACACCATAAGCTCCTGCTGGCCGCCCACGGTACTGGTTGTCTTCCTCATAGCGAAAATAGCATTGATTTGCTTCATGATTTGTCTTCTTGCAGATTTGACACGGCACCTTCTTTGTGCCTTGCGAGCTATTGCCTTGAGTATTACTGGTGAAATTCTGATTACTGTTTTGTCCATTACGCCCTGAATTGGATCGACCTCCACGTCGACCACCAGAGCGACTACGGCTTCCACGACCACGGGATGCCATATTAGCTGAAGACTGAAATTGATCGGTTCCTTGATACATCTCGAGCCGAAGATCGTACTCCATAAGTAATGAATATAATTCAGAAAGTGAAAGGTCTCCTGACCGGCCCATCATAGAGGAAACAAAGGGGTGATAATCATAATCTAAACCATTAAGTAGGTGAGCAACCACCTCATCATCGTTGATGACGACGCCGGCTAACGCGAGCTCATCCTTGATGTTTTGCATCTTGTTGAAATAGTCTGACGTGGTAAGACTGCCCTTCTTGGTGGTGGTCAATTGCATGCGCAGATTTGTAATCCGCGCTCTTGATTGTCCTGCAAACATAGCCCCTAACGCCTTGGGTGGAAAAAGATCAACAGCTACTCAGCTACCTGGTGAATTCGGTCTCCAAGGAGGTCCTCGCCGGCATCACGACTGCAACAACCTCTGCGCAGGCATGGAAGGCGTTAGGGGCTATGTTTGCAGTCGTGATCCCGACGAGGACCTCCTTGGAGACCGAATTCACCAGGTAGCTGAGTAGCTGTTGATCTTTTTCCACCCATGAGTCATGCTCTGGGTTGGGAATTTCCTTCTTCATGTCGTCGTCTTCTTCTCATGATGGATGGCACCAATCCTCTCCTTTCGGACATCCGGTGTTGGACAAGCTTACACGGGATAACTTTGTCCTGTGGAAAAAACTCGGTTCACACTCTGCTTTGTTAGGCGCTAAAGCGCTTGGGATCTGGATGGAACTATCCCGAGCCCACGACAAGTACTTGAAGCTGAAGTCGACTCGCAAGAAGAAGAAATTCCCCAACCCCATGACTCATGGGTGGAAAAAGATCAACAACTACTTGCTACACGGTGAATTCGGTCTCCCGGCTCGCCGGACCTCCTTGGAGACCGAATTCACCGTGCCGAGAGTAGTCGTGTGATCTTTTTCCACCCATGAGTCATGCTCTGGGTTGGGAATTTCCTTCTTCTTGCCGTCGACTTCAGCTTCAAGTACTTGTCGCGGCTCGGGGATAGTTCCATCCAGGATCCCAAGCGCCTTGGCGCCTCGAACAGCAGGCAGGAACTGAGTTTTCCACAGGACAAAGTTATCCCGTGTAAGCTTGTCCAACACCGGATGTCCGAAAGGAGAGGATTGGTGCCTTCCATCATGAGAAGAAGACGACGACATCTTGTTTGTCGTGTAGGAGGAGCATCACAATCTTGAGTTGCGCCCTTCTGTTGCGACGTCGCGGGGAGGAGCGTCACGAGCAGCGTCGCGGCCCCCTTTGTCGTGAGGATGTGTTGACGGGATTTTTTTATTAGACTATTCTAGGAAGAGGCGGCTCTGATTACCATGAAAGATTATGGGGTAACTATGGTTGCCTATCTTGGCTCACCATAGGTTGCATGTTTATATATATAGAACAAGAATTACAGATATAGATAGTTTAAACTATGACTCCTAACTTAAGTTCTATTCTATCTATAGCAAACTACAGGAGTCCATCTATCTATGAGATATGTTCGGTTACAACTCTAGTATAACACGTTTACAATCTCTAACACATCGAACATGTTCATCACTGGAGGAGGAAGCTGTAGCTTCTGCGCGAGAGACCTCTGCAACGCTCTCCTGCTCTCCCACTTGGAGCAGTCGAGGTTGATGATTAGCTTGAACTCGAGACCGCTGCCCAGTGCTGGTTTCTTCTCTTCTGAAGCTGCTGGAGCAAGACGGCGGCCCACTTCTCGGAGGACGGCGGATGCCCCCAGCCCATCCCAACCGTCGAAGTAGATGACGTTGTGCCGCCTGCCGCTGCTGGTACCACCAATGTCCTTCAGTTCTTCCAGGATTCGTTCCACAGCACTATCGATGGTGCACGCCATGATAACCTGCAACCAATGCGTTTATTATCTTCAGTATGCTTGATTGACTGCATTGGATTAATTATTAGCAAGAACTTAAAAGAACTTCATTGTTAATGCTAGCAGGTTTACCTCAGAACGCATGATGGACTGTACTGGATTATTAACCGGGCCGTCAGGTGATTATGTTGACTCTGGAGCAGTCTCTACGGTGCATGTACTAGATCTTCAGATCATAAATGATTATGATATATCCATTTCGAGTGGAACAGGATCCGTTTCAACTGCGGATCTAACCCATTTGGTTGGTCTCTCGGCTTCTCTGATCAACACAACCATACAGCAAGGAGTGATTAATATATACTATCCAGAGTAGCATGAATTATATAGAACTTTTGTGAATGCAAGCTACATATATATATACATTGAAAACTTATATCTGCACAGCATTTATTTGCATACCTCTGTTCAGTTCAATTGGCACAAGTAGGATACGAGAGAAGCTGAATAAACAAATCCACCAATGAAAAGGAGACAGGGAGATGTCTCAGAGAAAATGTATGCAGCTACAAGTTAGATCGAAACAAATAAGCAGGCGGTGCCACAGAGATAAACTTTGGTGTTTGGCAAATGTATGTGCATGTCAGTCCAGTAGTACTACTAGCAGTGCGTTTTCTTTGTTTGTCTGTGGTCCTCAGAATTGTTCTTTGCTTGCAGCTAGCTCTAGTCACTGCAGGTTTTTTTTTGTAAAGGTAAAGGTTAAAGATTTCATTAGGCACTAAAGCGCAAGGCAAGGATGTCGTATCTTTGTTGTCTGCACCATTCATTCTCCTGCAGTGCCTCATTGTGTGCAACTTTATGCCGTGTGAGCCACTTCAAGTTTCTAAGAGGATCCGAGGGGTAAGTTGGAAGAATCCTATATGTACTCTTTAGTTAATTTGTCTATTTTCATGCCAATTAACAAAGACGACTTATGTTACACAACATGTGCACAACACATTAACATATCTCTTAGGCTTGTCTGCAGTCAAATTGGGAGTCACAAACGCAAAGACTAGACCTAAAATCTAAACAACTATACCTGTAAGTCTTTGGTCATAATCCATGAAGTGGTGGAATGATAGGACATGAAGCACGTGCACTTGACCCAAAGCTACCTTCTAGCAAACAAAGTGGATGTCGATCTAGTTAGTTATCATGGTAAACTAAACATATCATATTATGAGCTTAATAAGTAGCACACATAGGGTTAAATGAATAATTGTAGTTTCACATGTTAAGCTTGTTTAATGAAAGCTCATTAAATCACGTTTGCATGATTTTCTTAACTTAAACATGTATAGCTTAGGGTGTCACACTGAAGATACTACAAATCACCTCAATGGCTTTTATGAAATTGTTGTACAAGTTTAACCGTTGGTCAAAAATAGGTGGCACTAAGCACAATCAAGATACTTATAGGAGTTGTAGCTCTGTGTTGGGCAATGTGGCTTATAATGACTCGGTGTTTGATAAATGCACCCCGAAAACATTTTTGCTGTTACTCTTCAGCATGCATTGGCCTAGTCATGGGAATTATTGCGGTGCTCGTATGACAACAAGGAGTGTATGTTAATGGCATGCAAAACCTTGGAGTCAATAGCAATGATCTTCCTGACTGTTGGAAAACCAGGTTTCCAGCAGGTGGGACACAGAGGAACCTTTGCCCAGCCGGGTGCCCTGGGCGAAGATTAGGAAGGTGGTAGGTGGGTCCAGGCTTAATTAGGGTTCCATAAATGCATTCACCAACCTCCCCTCCATAGGGTTGGGCTGCCCCTTTTATAGGACACTGTTTGCTACTATTTCATTGTACATCTTTGCCCTATGCTAGCTTGGGTACATTCCTAGAATATCCCCGGACCAGTTCAAATCTTCAGGGGCATTCTGGGTCTTTTCCTCTCGCATCGCCTTTGCCATTCGGGCCTCACCCTTAGGCCCATAGGAGGCCCATTTCTGACTTTGGGCCGTGGCACTGTAAGAGCTCCCTTCGTTCGGGCGGGGACCGCAGGTCCTCTGCCCAGATTGCTGGAGCCTCCGCCTATGGTCGACCTCCGCCAAGGAGCACTTCCAGGTACCTTCAGAGTCCGTGCCTAGACCTCCGCCTCACCGGTGATCAGAGGCGAAGGCTTCCCTTGGTGCTCCTACGTTTCGACCTGCGTCATGCAGATGGTCGTATCCGAAGGCTCCTTCCATTATACCCGTGTGCCAAGAAAACATGCGGACAGTTGTTGCTATGTAGGAGCCTCCGCTACTCATACGTCTATGTCCCAATAGTTTCCCCCTTGAGGGTATGTCTGATGCGAGCGCGCCATGAGCCTCAATTTTACCGTTGATATTGAGTCGCGGAGGCTTCCACCCTTTCCCTCCTAGGTTGCCTGGATCAGACCATTATGGCCTTGATGTGTTACTTTTTTATTGGTTGCGGTGGCTCTGGAACTGGCGCGTTGTTGAACGGATGTGACCGTTGGGCGTAGAAGTTGGAGCATCGGTTCATGGACTATATAAGGGAGGGGTAGGTGAAGGCCCCCATCCGCGTCACCTGAGCTATCGCTTTCAAACCTTTCGCTTTCTAAGCCCCCTTTCGAGTTTGGCCTTCGCTTAGTTGCGCTTTGCCTTCGTTTCTCTGTTGATCTTTTTAGAGTCTAAGAAGTGGCTTCTACTATTAGTCCCCCTCCTCGCCGGGCCACCATCTTCGGTCCGTACTCCCGCCTCCTCGGTGTTAGGGCTAGAGGTTGGTCCCAGCGCTTTGAGGAGTGTATGCTGGCTAGTGCGGAGGCTATTAAGTTTTGGAGGAGGATCTTGCTAGCGTCGAAGCCTCCGTTGGTGACCTAATCACCACCCAAGAAGCAGAAGACATGTCCGGCGCGGGCAGGACATGTGATTTTTGGGCCTTCATTGATGACGAAGGATATGGTCGAGGTTTTGGAGAAGGAGGGCTGTTTTGGTGCTGGGAAGGCGAAGCTTCCGCAGGATGAGACGGTGCTTAAGCCGCAGGCTACTGATGCCATCGTTTTTCGTGATTTCTTTGCCTGCGGCCTTCGCTTCCCTGCCGCACGGTTCCTTCGCCATGTTCTGGAGCTTTTGAGGTACAACTGCACCATCTCACTCTGAATGGTATTCTTACTTTGAGTAAGTTTTGCTAGGCTTGCCTGTTCTATGGTGCGGAGCCACATATATATTGGCACATTTTGTGAGTACTATGAGCTTCAACGGCAACAGAAGGGCGATAGATTGGAGATTTCTTTTGCCCAGATGAATAAGTGGAATAAAGACTGGATGCAGTATTGGTTCTATGTTAGGACCGATGGCATGACCTCTATGGATAGTGAAGGAAAAAAACACACTCGGCATCCGTTGGCTTTGGTTATGACTCCGATGAAGCCTTCGACCCAAGGGACTCCTGGACCAGAGGTCATTGAGGGATGTGAGGCCTGCGACAAGGGCTTCGCTTTAGCCTGCCGTTACTCCAGAGGCCGTGATCTAGTGGAGGAAATGGTGGCATAGAAGTGTTGGCCGTTAGGTTGGAATAGGCCAGCGATGAGTATCGAAATGGTTAGTTTGCCAGTTTTTGGCGATGGGGATGGTGTTCTGTTTCCTTGCTTTGATGTAAAGCGGGCGGAGGACATAATGGCTGATGAATATGTCACGGTCGTTGAAGAAGGAGCGCGTGACATTCTCAGTGAGATGTTAGACAAAGAGTATTTGGTGCGAAGGGCCATTGGGGGTTCAATGCCCCATCTTGACCGTGTGTTTGAAGAGTTGGGGATGCATCACGAAGAACACATAGTTCCTCTGAAGGTTCTAAAGTTGCTTGAGGAGAAGGCGAAGAAAGCCACTGCTAAGAACACAACTGCTGCAGCGGAGGTGAAGAAGAGGAAGGGAACTGGCGTTTCAAAAAACGATCAGCAAGAGACAAAGGACTTCGGCTACTTGTGCCACTGCCTCCGCAGGTTTAGGGGAGGAGGTGGCATAGAATGTTGGTGGAGGTTCTGCTTCTGCAGCTGCTAGCATGGAAGGCGAGCATTCTGCCACCTCCACTTATCTTGGTGGTGATGACTTCATCCCGACTGCCCTCCAAGGGATGACTGGTGCTTTACCGCTGAAGCCTCCGCCGTGGCACCTATGCCTAGAGTACTGGGCGATGAGTCATCTAGTTCTAAGGGTGGGGATGGTGATGCCTCACTGTCTTGGGGAGAAAGGTCAGAGATGCGGGCCCCCATCGTCCTACGGAGGTCCCTGTTTGGAGGTGTCCGAGGACGCGTCTGAGAGGCGCTCTCCGGCTGTGCAGGCTCGGCACATAGCGTCACCAACTGCGGCGTGCCGTTTTGATGAGAATGCCCTTGCGGGTGCTGGTCAAGGTGCTTTGTACTTGAGTGAGTGGCCATTTGTCTTTCCTTGACTTGCTATTTTTCTTTTGTTTTGCTCGGGACTTATTTTTTGTATTTTAGGTGACCTGACAAAGGCTATAGGGGATGCTACAGAGCCTGCAGATTAGGATCTCGCTCGCATCGGCCTAGATGCTTCTCCACAACCTCCGCTTCTCGAGAGGAATCCTGGCCGTTCGGGCCATGGTCAGGCTGGTGGCGAAGGTCTATTTTCTTTTTTTATCTCTCTTTCTTTTTCGTGTTCCCCTATTTTGCCTGAGCTTTTTCCCTAACTCTTTTCTTGTGTTGTAGCGGCTTCCGACAACACAATAAGCGGGTGAGCGGAATGCCTTGAAGCTCTTTACAACGATATTGAAGGTTGCTTTTTAAGTTTGTACTTCTTGTTTTTTATCTTACTCCTCTTACATTTTGTTTGTTACTAGGTCGTCTTTGCCACCATCTTAAACATGTGGACTATTTCAAGCTGTTGCGGTACAACTTGGAGCAGCAGTGTGTGGTACGTATTGTCTTTGTCATCTCTTTCTTCTTTGCATCTTTCTTGTGTGTTTGTAACCTTGTTGAGTTTTGTCTTTGTAGAGCCACCATCTTGCAGAGGCT